TATCCCAATTCTTACTCTAGAATACACAAAGCTTATTGTCTATTGTCTAGTTGCTGACTTACGCATCAGAGGGGTTTCCGGCACAGACCCGCCGGTTAGCTCACGTTTGTGTTTTTAGGTGGCAAAGAAACGTTGTTTAGAGGAGCGCAAACTTGATCAACAGGATCATACGAGAAGAATTATTTCATGCTCGTACAATTGGCGCCGTCTGTGAAAATTTCACGAAGAACAAAACCTCTTGATCAAGTTTTCCTCTCTAGTTGAAAGCAATAGCGCACAATGAAGACTTGCCATAATCTGCTATTGATGGGCAAACACCGGAAGGGGGTGGGAGGCACGAAGGTTTACCTTCTATTCCACCCATGGCAGAATTAGATCCCCAGCGAAGGAATCCACAGAGAGAAGCAAGAGAAAGACGGGGCTCAAGTCCACACCTCTCTCAAAGCCTTAATAGACAGAGGCGGAAGATGGATCCACAGGTTCTTGAAGATCGCATAAGGGAGCAAGACAAAGTAATAAGAAGAATGGCGACTGACATAAAGTCTATGAAGAGCCAGATAAAAGGCAAAGGGAGAAAAAAAGAGTCGGAGATAGAGGAGCAGGATTTGAAGTAGAGAAAGTCGAAGAAGACGAAGACAGAGAAGGAAGATTCGAAGAAAAAGAAGAGCAGTGAAGAAGAAAGACGAGTTAAAAGACAGACTTCTCAGGATGATGATGATGGTTCTGAGTCGGAGGAAGAACAATTGCATGACCAAAGAGAGAGATGCAGCAGCAACGAGGAAGCTAGCTGAGCCAAAATTAACACAGAGGGAGGAAGAATAAGCTGTTCAGAGGTCTAATGCTTTGGAAGAAGACGACATTGGGGCTATAAAGAAAGTTTCAAGGCAAGAGCATTTGAAGAAACTGAAGGGGCTCAGAGATTATATAGAAGATAAGCAGTATCTATTTGATGGTGTAAAATTGATTGAAGCAGAATATCGTGAACTGAGTTGAGGGATTCAATGACAATGACGCTGCCCCTTACTATGGAAGCCCTGATGGAGAGAGTGCACCAACACATCAGGGTAGAGGAAGATAGGGCGCACACCAAGGCAGAGTCTGGCACAATAGCGATGTCGGACAAAACATCTTTGACAAAAGATAACACGGTTGACAAGTAGGACCGATCGCACAAAAATCTTTGCCCAACTAGGGGCAAAGTGGGTTGGCAAGTTTGACCAACTCTTTCTGAAAAGTCTTTGCCCGACTGGGGGGGCAACAGAAAAAGTTGGCTGGAATAAACCAACACCCCTCCTAAGCCCAGAATAAGGATCCAAGCTGCAGGACGTTTGGTCGGAATAACCAAATACTTTACTCTAGGTTGGCAGGAATAACCAACTTAGAAGTTGGCTGGAAAAACCAACACCCCTCCTAAGCCCAGGATAAGGATCCAGGCTGCAGGATGTTTGGTCGGAATAATCAAGCACTTTACTCTAGGTTGGTAGGAATAACCAACTTAGAGGTTGGCTGGAAAAACCAACACTTCTCCTAAGCCGAGGATAAGGATCCAAGCTGCAAGACGTTTGGCTGGAAAAACCAAACATTTCGCTCAGAGTTGGCCGGAATAACCAACTTTGAGCTTTCTTTAGCTATGATTAGGATCTAGGCTAAAGAGGTTGGCTAGAAAAACCAACACTTCTCCTAAGCCAAGATAAGGATCTAGGCTGCAGGAAGTTGGCAGGTTTGACCAACAAGTCTTTGCCCGACTGGGGGACAATCAAGAAGTTTGGCAAGAATGACCAAGCATTTAGCTCTTCTTCAAGCCGAGATAAGGTTGGCAAGAATAACCAACATTTAGCTCTCCTAAGCCAAGATGAGGATCTAGGCTGCACGAAGTTGGCAGGTATGACCAACAAAATTTTTGAAACTCTTTGGTCGGGATGATGGTTACCTCGGTCAAAGCAGGTTGGCAGGTTTGACCAACAAATTTTTTGAACTCTTTGGCCGGGATGATGGTTACCTCGGCGAGACACAGAGAGAACGACTGGCCATACGATTGCAAACTCGAAGGATATATACGTTGAAGGCGAAAAGGCAGGGCTATTCAAATTTTTGGCATGACAGTGGTAACAGGAGAACGAGGATATTGGGGGCACGCCATGTATCCTGGGAATGACGTCGTATCAGATTAGTGGAAGAACATACTGAGCAACTAACAAGGCTTATTGGGGGCCGAACAAACTTTTTAGCTCGGCAGAGTAGGGCGTTCTTAGCTTGGCTGGAGGAAAAATAATCTCAATCATGCTACGCAGATGGAATTAAGGGGCAATTGAGAGGGTAATTTGTAAACAAATTGGGCCGAGTTAGGAAAAGTCTTCTTTGGAAGTTGGGCCGCGCAATGGGCCGAGATAAGGGCTGGTATAGCTCGGTCTTAGGCCGAGAAGACATCTCATATTTCAGATTTAGGCCGAACTATGGGCTGAGGTGTTTGGGCTTCGCAAGTTGGACCTCGTCCTTGTTAGTTCGGTTAGAGACTACTGCAGTTACCTCGGTCTAAACAGACAAAACAGAGGTAACATCAATAGCGAGGGCCGAACTGTGTATAGCTCGGTAGGGTGGCATTCGATAGATCGACTTTCGATCACATGGTCCGAATGGCAGGGGACCGAGATAAGGCAGTTCGGTCAGAAATGTATAACCGAGGTAAAGGGTTCAACCATCTCACTTGGCTTGCAGTGATGAGACTCCTAGTAGGACTCTGCTAAGGAGAGTTAGAGTCCTACTGGGATTGTGCAAACCATCTCACTTGGTTGGTAGTGAGTAGGAGTATGACTCCTAGGAAGACTTTGCTAAGGAGAGTAGAGTCCTACTAGGATTGTACAAAACCATCTTACTTGGTTGGTAGTGAGTAGGGTGTGTGATTCCTAGGAGGACTCTCATAGGGAGAGTTGGAATCTTACTAGGATTGTGTCAAAGTAAAGTCTATAAAAGCTTATGACCAGACCTATGGACAGGTATCCCAATTCTTACTCTAGAATACACAGAGCTTACTGTCTATTGTCTAGTTGCTGACTTAGGCATCGGGGGGATTTCCGGCACACACCCGCCGGTTAGCTCATGTTTGTGTTTTCAGGTAGCAAAATAACGTTGTTTTGAGGAGCGCAAACTTAATCAACAAGATCATACGAGAAGAATTATTTCGTACTCGTACATATTCCAAAATCACGAAGTCATTAAAAAATTTTAAATGAAAAGACATGATATAATAATTATAAATGTATTGAGACAAAATAATAAAAAGATTTACAAATAGAGGATTGCAAGCCCTCACTTCCTTAACTCTTATTTTCGTGAGCACCCAATCAATTACTATATCTAATAGAGAAACATCAATATTACATATTTAAAAAAAAAAATTCAAAAAATGTACTTAGATTTTAAAATTTACAGACAAGATTATGATTGGATGGAGTACCTAGAGTGTTTTGTACTGTTTTGTTTTTATTTTTTTATGTTTTTGATTTCTGGCTCCTTGGTTGGACTCTCACCAATTTTGGTTGTGCTTTGTAGATGATTTGAGTTTGCTTTTTAATGTCAAATTAGTTGGAATCATTTTGTTTTAGCTATTAGGTTTGTGCATCCTCCTACTTTTATTGATGTTATATCTTTGCCTATCTTGGTTCCATGATTTTTATTAATAGAGTTTCTTTTTTACTGATAAAAAAAGATGCAACTCTACAATAAGAAATTTAAATAAAGATAAATTTGAAAATATGAATAATTTTCTATATTTTTTAAGTGTATAAACTTTTCCATAGAGAAAATTTAACCCAAATTATAATATTCTCCCATTGTGTCAATAATAATAGGGAGTTTTTTTGATAAATCCATTTTCTAAGAGCTTTATTCCATCCAATCCATATTCTTTTTGACTATTCCATTAGGTCCAATTTGGAAAGATTTGTGACCTTTGGATTACACTTACAATAAAGCACCACACAATAATCAAGGTAATCTAAGGGTCACAAATTTTTCATGACCCTTTTCGTGACAAAACTTTCATGATCTCTAACATTTCTCTTATTATTATTATTATTTTTCCCTTTACCGCAATATTCGGACTCCATGCAAATACGGGGTAGACATTAGTGAGATTCCAATATACAACAGCATGTCTAACTATCATGTCCAAGGATCTTCCATTCCTAAAAAATTTTATCGCCATGATCCAAATTACTCACAATTATTAAATACGTCTTAAGATTTGTGAATCTTGAAATTTTTATATGATCGAGTGATTTGAGACACGAGACAAAACAAAAAATTCTTGCTGAACTATCATCATCATCATCACCTCCCACAATCTTCATCTTCCTAGGGATTGAAACCCACATGCACCCATGAAAGGTGTCAAAGAGCATCTTCTTTTTGTTTTGCATGTAAACAGCATATCGAACTATGCTAAAGTTGCACATCTCCATGCCCATTTCAAGAATCTTTCTTGTCAGCATATCCAAAGCTATACTGCCATCACCTGTACACATTTCATGTCTCATGTCTCATTTCAAGAACAACTCAACACACAAACAGCACCCATACAGGTTTTTTTGGGGAGATTTTTTTTCCCTTTCTTTTCCTTAGGGAAATGGATTTGTACAATCAATTGCTTCAACCTTGGTTTGATTTCTTAATTGGACATGCCACGATTGATTATATGTCCCAGATAGAACAACACGGCATGAAGTCCAAAGATAATTAAAAATTCTAAAAGAAAATGAAACAACAATAGAGAAACTGATTTATATTAAGTTTATACAAAAAGTGATCGCATAATCGATGATTACAATATATATGAATATATAAGATTTTTAAAGTGATTACAATATATATGAATATATAAGATTTTTAAAGTGAAACTATACAAACAAATTTTATAAAATCTTATTCATTCATATAATTTGTGTTCAGTTCTGTATTAATTTCTATAATTTAATTACTTACAGCAAATAAGTAGAAAAGAATGATCAAGAAGGCAACATTGAATTTATTAAAAATGCAAAGAAACCAAAAACAGTCCTAAATGAAAAGAACAAATTGCAGTTGCTTGTGTTCTTATTATGTAGAAGAACAGATAAATGATGAATTACAACAAGAACAAACTCAAGACAATAACTCAAATGTAACTAGAAACTTCACCCATAATATACATTAATCTAACCTTGCCATGGTGTTTGATTTTGGTTCTGCTGATCATATGAAGATGATGGTGAGTTCATATGATCAAGCCCAGCTATGTTTGGAAACCCCCTATGAGAGATTGTTCTAAGACCCAAGAAATCCCTAGTCAACCCATCATTGCCACCCCCGCCACCGCCGCCTTCATTACTTCTCCTCAAATGGGTTTCCATGGCTGCTGGTTTTGAAAATGTTTCTTGAAAATGACTCTCCATTCTTGGATTCAGCATTCCATTCAAAGCCTCTTCAAAAGATGATGATCCTTCAAACCCACTTCCACAAGGCAAAGAAGAACCTACCATAGTTGCACCAACTTGTTCCATGTAACCAGAGGTGACAACAGCCTTATTCCCAAACGATGCTAAGCTTTGAGAAAACCCACTAATTTCCATTTCTTCACGTGATGACAAATCCAGACCAGAGCCAGCTGTAGATGAGGCCAATGACGTGGAAGAACAACTCATGTGATGAGCTTGGTGGGGTCTGTTGAGGATCAAACTCTCTGAAGGACAAGGTTTGCTCATTGTTACACCCATTTGTGCTGCTTTTTGCAGCAATGCTGTTGCAGACATGTGCGGGGAAGATGTGGGTTGAAAGGAGGGAAGTGACGGAGTAGTAGTTGTAGTACTAAGGCTAGTGCTAGGGTTAGGGTTTTCATTGTGGTGGATGAATGAGTGGTGGTGTTGGTGTTGGTCTAACCTTGAAGAGAATAATTGGGTGGAGAGGTCAATAGGTGGTGGTGCACCACCTTCACCCACCAGTGTTTGGCAGGCTAACCATGGTGGAAGCTCTGGTGGTGGCCTTATTAGGTTGTTGAAGCTTTGGTCTTGTTGTTCTCTTTTCATGAGAGGAAATGGTTGGAGAGTTGGAGGGTTGTGGAGGTGATGATTTTGGAGATGGAGGTTAAAATGGGAAGATGAAGTGATTGGTGGTTGGGAAGACGAGAGAAGTGGGTGGTTTGCTAATGTGATTGACCTTGCACTCTCTTCTGCTAATGCATCACAGAAGGCTCTATGGGTGATGAAACTGTCCCTCCTGTGATCACACCACAAAAACAAGCATAAGAAAACAAAAAGGAACAAACCATCACAATGCAGTGTTAACAGTGCCAAAAAAGTATTCTTTCTCTATCTTGTCACCTTTTGCATTTTCTTCCCTTTTTTCTTAGCAAACAAAAGATATATCAAACATATAGGTTCCTATGCTAGATACTTTGGCAATTAAAAAAAAAATTAAGTAGCAACAATTCAAAATAATAACAGTTAGAAGTGAGCACTTTGTCGAATGTTACAATTCTCACTTACACGGGATATAGATTTACTTATACTTCTATAAAAATTGTAATTAGTAAGAGTTTTTTTTGGATTAATTAATAAGTAAGAGTTGTTCTCACTAAAACACAAGGTCTTCTAAATTTTTTTTTTAATACTTTCAATGCCTCTCTCTCTCTGTCTCTCTCTCATGCGCATACAGAAGCACAAGAAGGCACCAAAACGCAACAAGAGCCGATATATTGAACTTAAGTCAATTATAGAATAAGGAGAGATCTAAGTTTTGTTGTTGATTTGTCAACTAATTCTAATTTTTTCTCTATAAACTTTGAGGGTTTGTTTTTATGTACCTTGAGAAAAGGGTTCCACAATCACATCTATACTCTCTGGTGCCACAAATTTTGGAGTGGGCTTTCCAATCAGACTGAACAGCATATCGCTTTGAGCACTTTTCACATTTCCACTTCTTCTCGCCGTGCTTTCTTGAAAAGTGCTTCTTGATCCCGGTGAGGTCCCCAAGGGCCCTTGAAGGGTCATGGTGCACACATGTTGGTTCTGGACACACATACACCTTCTTCTTTATCACCTCTTTGTTTGCTCTTTGCTTGAGCTTCCATGGCAAATTATGCCCTCTTCTGTGAAGCTGAAGGTTCTGATCTCTCTGAAACCCTTTATTGCAAATTTCACATATGAATCTGTTTGTTGCCATGAGGGTTTTTGGGGACAAAGCCATCACTTCTGCTTCTGGGTCTAGCTCAAAAAAACCAAGAAAAATGAACAAAAAAGTTAGAAACCGACATTTGTAAATTCAAGAAAATTGAAACTACTCAAAGAATAATGACTCTTCAAGTACTTTTGATTGAGAAATAGAGGAGTAGAAGTCGTGGGGAAAAAAAAGAAAGAAAGAAAGACCGTTTTTACCATTCATTAAAGCCAACATTTTTAATTCAAGAAAATTAAAAGTACTTGAAGAATCACAATTCGTTCTTCGAGGACTTTCAATTGAGAATTAGAAAAGTTTGAGCAAAGCTTGGAAAATACTCGTGAGCGAAAAATAAAGTTAAAAAGAAATAGAGGATAGCTGTAAATTACAATTTGGTTACCTGGATTGCCTGGGAGATTTCTTTTCTTCTTCGCCAGTGGTGGTTGATTTGGCGATGCGAAAGACTGCTGTTGTGGGTACAAACTACCAACTTCATTTCTATTGCTTGAAGATATGCTTGCTTCGTTGGATGCGGAAGTCAAGTTTGACATATTGTCATCTAATATCAGACTGTTCATCATCATCTTCTCTCTCTCTCTCTCTCTGTCTGTGGCACTAAAGTTTACTGGATTTTGTGGGCTTGGACAGGAGGAACTCTAAGATTCATTGATGAGGCCACAGATCAACTTTTTCACAGGTGACACAGTAACAATATGTCCTCAAGATCTGAATGCAAACCCTAAATTTAGAAAGACTAACAAAAAGAGAGAAGAGATGATACCTATTAGAGAAACATTAAAAGCTTCTCTTATAGTTTCCACTGTATCTTATCCTCAGTACTGGCCTTCTTGATGATTCTTCATCCCTTTCTTCACATTTATTTCAAACCCTAGAGAATTAGAAGAACATGAGCAAAAAAAAAAAAAAAAGGGAAAAAAAGCGCTATGAATTTCTAAGTGAACAGCACCAAATTACCACCACCAAGCTCCTTCAAATTTGAATTTCAAACCATAGGTTTGATAATTGAAATTCAATAAAAGCCATACACATAACTACAAATAAACCTAGCCAAACCAAGTTTATGAGAGAGAGAGAGAGAGAGAGATGTGGATGAGAAGGGATCCCTCAACCATATAGGAAAGCCAACAAGCTTGTTCTGACGTAGCACTTTGTCTTTTCCTCTGTACTCTTCTCAATCTTTTGCATTATTTACCTCTTTCTTTCATTGTTGTATTTGCTTTATGAATTAATGTAATTTTCAATTCCAGGAAAATGATACTCTTTTAAACATTTTGCTTATTGACACCACCACCTTTCCCTTCCACCAAAAAGACAGAAATAAAGCAACAAGTGAAAATGAGAGCGAGGCTTTTTCACAAATTCAACCCACCACCTAGTTGGAGAGAGACAGAGAGATGATTAAGAGTTGATTTATAGCCTTTTTAACATTATGGTAAAAGAGTAAAAAGTCACTACTTTCTTCTGTGCTCCTATATATACTCACATGATTGGTTTAGTGATTAAATTCCAACAGATATGCTCATGGAAAGCTGTGATTTTAAATGATTCAATTTTTTAGTCTTTCAGTTTTAGTTTTTTTTTAAGTAATAAAATACACTAAGCATATGTTATAGAATAATTGAACTTCTGAAATGTCCAATTTTTTTTCTTAAAATTGTATGATGAGAGAGGGGTACAAGAAGAATAAAGATACAGAGTTCTAATTTTGAAACTCTAAAGAAAATTTTAGTAATGTAGTAAGAAGTGAGATTCACATATAATATTATGTATGTGCTTATGTTTTTTTTTTATTTATTTTTTATTTTTTTATCACATCATTAGAATTCTTTAAAGGTTTAAAATTAAAACTCTCTGCCATTATTGATAAAAGAAATAGAATTGGTCCCCCAATACTCTGCCCATCCATCATCACTTTTATTACTGTGTAATGCAAACTTGTATCTATGAGAGAAAGAGGGAAGAAAAAAAGGGAACTAGTTGACTTTGGTCAATTCAACATGACTTCATTTTTATTTGCAAAAAGACTCTTTGCTTTCCATATGACCCTTTTTTTTTTAAAAAAAAAAAAAAATGCTGTCATCAATTTATAGGTGTCACTAATAAAAAATACAAATATATAATCAGATCTGAATGATTTCCATTACGTGCATAAATGAAATACAGATGTCCATCTCATTATCATTAATTAGAAAAAAATTCATATTAATATATAATAAATTTAAGTGTACGGAAGAGCAAAATAAAGAATGAGACATAAATATCTCATAAAGGATGAGTTTCACATTATTGTTCTTATTTATAAAATTTAATTAAATCTACTATACAATTATATCACAAAAGAATCTGGATTCAGTCATAAATATTAGAAGATTGTTGTCAATACATGGAACAACATTTTGAAATAAGGTGAGTTTGAAATTATCAGATAACTGGTCTGACAAATGGGCAACATGAGTTGCAGTGACTCATGTCTCCATGCACAAAATTATATACATACATATATATATTATACTAAAGTTACTAACAAACGAAGAATGTGATGGAGCTACACTGTCTCTCTGTTTATTCTTGTCGTTCATGGGTTTGCATTTATACCCTTTAAAAAAAAGAAAAATGTTTCATGTCCTCTTTTCCCCCACCCCTTTGACCCCCTCTCTTTCTCATTGGTTACATTTTCTTTTTTTCTTTTTTTCCTACTCCTCCAATCACCACCCGCCACGTGTTTGTGGGGTTGTGGGGTGGTAATTAGAGGGGGTCTCTATCATGACTCTAAAAAAAAACATGGTTTAGTTGGCATTCATTTGTCTTTTTTCATGGTCTACATTATATTATATATATTATTATATATCAATATCTTCACGGTCTACATTATATTATATATAGTATTATCAATATCAATTACAAGATGTTTTTAGACCCACATTGATATTTTACGGGCTTTTTACCTCATTTCAAATTTTAAATACAGTTCACAAATTTACTCACATTGAAATGATAAAAAATTTAATTTTCTATAATTAAAATTGAGATTAGTACATAATGTGTCATGTTATTATGAGTTTAATTAAAAAATATTTTTTAAAACTTTTTATGTAATCTGTATTTACTTAAGATTGTGTTTGAATATTGAATTTAATGAGAAATTTATAAAATAAAAACAAATTTAAAGGAAGGGAAAAATTTTCTACTTATTCACTTCTTTTTTTCCCTTTTGTTTCTATAAAATATTATCACAAATTCAAAATCCAAACACAATATTAAACTTATAAATAAATCAAACCAATAATATAATACTATGTAATTAAAAGAAACTCGCAAAAAGCCTAACATTTTGAAATCTATAAACTAAATTTATTCTAAGGTGTGGCCCTACATTTAATAACAAATTTAATTTTACATAGCATATTCGAAATAGCAAAAAGTGATTCGGACAATACATAATATGAGGCCTCGTTTGGAAATTGTTTGTTTTGACTTAAAAGTCAAAAAGTTGCTACAAAAATTAAAAAGTTTATAATCTATACAAAAAAGTTAAAGATTTCATTTTTTCTCTACTTTTTATACGTTTTTTTTTTTTTTTTTGTGTAAAAGACCAAAAAGTCATTTCAAATGATAAAAAATCAAAAAGTTACTAAAATAGTATGTTCCCAAACGAGACCTGAGTATAGATAAAATTAGAAAAAGTTAGCCAAAATCTCTCCATTAGACCCTTATTTGGTGAAAATGATAACTCAATTTATTTTGCTTCATAAACCTCCTAAGGACAGAGTAATTTTTTTTTCTTGAACAATATATATCTTATAGAACTCTTTTGACAAGGAACACTTTAATTTTATTTTATACAAGTTTAAAAATGTTGTGTATGTTTATTTTTGGTTGGTTCATTTACGTACTTGTAACAAAAAAAGTTACTATGAGCTAGAATAACATGTTATTGTGAATTAAAGTAACATGTTAATATGAGACAGAGTAACATATTACTGTCAAATAAAGTAACATACTATTTACGTCAATTTCAAAGGTATTTTTTTATTTTTATTTTTTAAGAATTTCATAGTTAATATTGATCTTGTTTGATAGATCTTGATGAGAGAATTCTAAAAATACTAATTTGCTTAAAAATTGACATTTGAATTAAAAGTTGTATTATTTTAAAGTTTAAAATTTTAAATTACTCACTAAATATATTTTGATAATAGTGGTATGTTTTAAACTTTTTTTTTAAAAAAAAAAATATGTGCTTATCCTTAATGCATTAAAGTTTTATCATGAATGGGTTTTGATCAAATCTCCTATAAAATTATACAAATCCAAATATTAATGAGTTTGTATTATTTTAATTATTTTTTGGATATACGAAAAATATATATGATAAAATTTTAAGATATCTCAGCCCTTGAAAGCATCAATTGCCTTATGAATTGTCCATATCACATCCATATCAATGGACCCATCTGGTCTGGGTAACATGATGTACTCGAGAATATATATATATATTGTTTTATAAAAATATATTTTAATTAATTAAATATTATCCTCTAAAACGTGTGAGATAATAAAAAATAAAATAATAATACACAAACATAATTTTTATACAAATGAAGTGATCAATTTCATTTCTAATTAAAACGTTCACCACAATTGATCATTTCTGTAAAAATTATGATTTGGTTCACAATTGTATCAATCAATTTAAAAATAAATAAATTTATCCAACTGGTAAGCAGCCGAAGCAACAGGGGGAAATATTGTTTGATTCTTAACATATCAATAATAAATTATCATTTTTTAAAAAAATATAAAGTTCGGATTACTCCCATGTGGTTTGGTCCGGGAAGGCTAAAAACCTAAATTTCAGTTATTTTGGACCAATTTACATCACGCCTTTGTTAATTATGTTAAATGGAAAATGACCTTAATACTCTCCGTTTTCTTTTTGGTATTCTCCTTATCTTTCTTTGAAGGCCAACATGAAAGTGTGGTTGCCAAAATTTAAACCCGTTAACCACACCCCTTGCACTTACTAGAAGGTTGAGGTAGTTCAATCATTAAGCTACTTTGACGATCACCTAAAGCCCACAACAAATTTTAAATTTTTTTATTATTATCAAAGTTCCCAACTTTTAAAAGGCTTAATTAAATAAGACTTTATTTTGATATTTAGCCTAAAGTCTCAAAAAATCTTGAGCCGCCACTAAAGTCAGTAATTTGAATATTTCCACTTACTTGTGTGTCTTAATCCCCATATTATTTATTTATATTTCTCTTTGCCACACTTTTGAGTTTCTTTGTAGTATACATGTTGTATTTGAATAATAATTGATTAGGTCTCATGATAATATCATATATTAATAATAAATAAATAAGAAAAGAAAAAAAGAAGAAGGACGAATGGATGGACCAAAATTGCTAGCCCAACCACAAAGCAAGCATGTGTGAAAGGCCTTGTTGGGCCCTTTGGTTTGCTAGTTTTCACTTCTAAGGAATTCTCGCTATGGAATTGTTTGTGAGAAATGATAATGTCACGCATCAAAATGTCAGTATCAAAAACTCCGAAAATTAAAACATAATTGGTTAGTCGAGGAATATCACGTGATTATGTTCTTAATCAATCATAAATCATTATATCCTCTCATATTTCTCAATCACTCAATACAAAATCATGAACCACACCCCCTCCACCAAGTACAATGTATATAAAGTATCACGTAACACTGCCCCTGGATCAACAAAGTGAATATAAAAAGAAATTTAGTAAATATATTTAACACTCGTTTGGAGATTAATTTTGTTTAGCAATTTTTTAATTTTTTACAAAAAAAAATTATAAAAAAAATGAGTAAATTATTTGACGGTTTATAATAATTTTTTTACTTTTTAACTAAAAACGTTACTCTGCAAACGCCTAAGAAGTTCTCGATAAAATACCACAAATACCCTTATGATTGATACTAACAATTTGGTGAATTAATAAACAAGAATGTTGTTTTATTCTTTGTTTGGATAACCAATGGAAGAGAATGGACCCCATGTATCACTGGAAGAGTTTATCAAGATTAGGCTATTGATAAAGAAGCCCAAC